ATGTCGAAAAAGTGCACGCCGGTGTGGCGCGAAGCACATCTCCAAGTCGAAAGTGTCAAAAACTGACGGTCTCAGACCACTTTTGAAAGTTGAGATGTCGAAAAATTGCACGCTGTTGTGGCTTTCCAATTCAAAATGTTAAAAACACCACATGCTCGAACCACTTTTTGACGTGCAGATGTCGAAAAAAGTTGCACGCTGTTGCGGCGCGAAGCACATTTCCAATTCAGAATGCACAAAGCGCCAGATGTACGGACCACTTTTGACGGTTGAGATGTGGTTTTGCGTGGCAGGCGCCAGGGATTTTGCACCTTGTCAAAAGTGAGCAAAAGGTGAAGGTCTTGTAGCAATTTCAACTACTACACTACAGTAGACTACACTACACAACACTCCACTACACTAGATAGATTACACTATACATTACACTACACTACACCCCACTACACGACACCGCACTGCATTACACTACATTACGCTACACTACTGTATACTACACTACACAACACCCCACTACACTACTGTATACTACACTACACAACACCCCACTACACTACACTTCACTCCACTACACTACATTACACTACACTACCGTATACTACACTACACAACACTCCACTCCACTACACTACACTACACCCCACAACACTACACTACATTGCACTACATTGCACTACAGTACAATACACTACACTACAATATACCACACTACACAACACTCCACCACACTACACTACACTTCACTACACTACACCACAGTCCACCACACTACACAACACTCCACTCCATTCCACTCCACTCCAGTCCACCCCACTACACTACACTCCACCACATTACACTCCACTACACTACATTGCTCTACACTACATTACACTACATTACGCTACCCTCAACTGCACTATGCTACACTGTACCTACAACTACAACCACAACTACAACTACGCTACTTTACACTACACTACACTACACTAGACTACACTACATAACACCTCCGTACATTACATTACACCAGCTCCATTACACCGCCACAATTTAACTGCAAATACACTACGCTAACTACACTACACCGGAAGTACAACTCCACTACGTTGCAACTACAGCTGCACTACACCACACTCAATCCAGAAGTTGTGGGTGAGGTGATCACTGCAACCATTACAACCACTCCAACAAACACAAATCCAACCACCTTTCGGTCAATCAGTGAATTCCCTCTGCCATCCGTGATTCGCAACAACCAGCCTCTCCTATAGTTTTCCTATTCTAAAACTTCCGCCACCGCCGCGCGCGGTACTACTGGTATGATGGGGACATTAGAAAAAGAAACAGCGCCCAAACTTAATGGCTAGCATGTAGTCGTTGAGTCGTGGTCGTTGATTCATGGTCGCTGATTCGCCTATGTGGTCGCTGATCTGTGAAATGTGGTCGCTGATTCTGATTATGTGGTCGCTGGCTGATTCGTGGTCGCTGATTCGTGGTGACTGATTCGGAGGTCTGGTCGCTGATTCGGAGTTTTCTCGTAAAGTGTGGGGTGTAAAGTGTGGAGTGTAAAGTGTGAAGTGTGGAGCGTAAAGTGTAGAGTGTGGAGTGTGGAATCTAAAGTGTAGTGTGTGGAGTGCGAAGTGTGGAGTGTAAAGTGTGGAGTGTTGAGTGTAAAGTGTAGAGCGTGGAGTGTAAAGAGTAGACTGTGGAGTCTGAAGTGTAAAGTGTGGAGTGAAAAGTGTGGAGTGTAAAGTGGGGAGTGTAAAGTAAAAGTGTGGAGTGGAAAGTGTACAGTGGGGAGTGTCGTATGTAGAGTGTGGAGTGTGGAGTGTAAAGTGTCAAGTGTAAAGCGTGGAAGTGTGGAGTGTAAAGCGTAAAGTGTGGAGAGTGGAGTGTAGAGTGTAGAGTGTGGAGTGTGGAGTGTTGAGTGTGGAGTGTGAAGTGTAGAGTGTGGAGTGTGGAGTGTGGAAAGTGTAGTGTGTGTAAAGTGTAGAGTGTGAAGTGTAGTGTGTGGAGTGTGGAGTGTAGAGTGTGGAGTGTGGAGTGTACAGTGTAGAGTGTAGAGCGTGGTGTGGAGTGTAAAGTGTAGAGTGTAGAGTGTGGAGTGTAAAGTGTAGAGTGTACAGTGTAAAGTGTGGATTGTAAAGTGTGGAGTGTGTATTGTAAAGTGTGGACTGGTGTGGAGTGTAGAGTGTGGAGTGTCAAGTGTGGAGTGTAAAGTGTACAGTGTGGAGTGTGGAGTGTGGAACGTAGAGTGTAAAGTGTAAAGTGCGCAGTGTAAAGTGTAAAGTGTGGAGTGTGGAGTGTAAAGTGTAGAGTGTAAAGTGTAGAGCGTAAAGTGTAGAGTGTGTAGTGTGGAGTTTACAGTGTACTGTGTACAGTGTAGAGTGTAGAGTGTTGAGTGTGGAGTGTAAAGTGCAGAGTGTAGAGTGTGGAGTGTAAAGTGTGGAGTGTAGAGTGTAAAGTGTAAAGTGTAAAGTGTGGAATGTAAAGTGTCGAGTGCGGAGTGTGGAGTGTAAAGTGTAGAGTGTAAAGTGTGGAGTGCGGAGTGTAAAGTGTGGAGTGTAAAGTGTGGAGTGTAGAGTGTAGAGTGTAAAGTGTGGATTGTAAAGTGTGGAGTGTGTATTGTAAAGTGTGGAGTGTGTATTTTAAAGTGTGGAGTGCATATTGTAAAGTGTGGAGTGTAAAGTGTGGAGTGTAAACTGTAGAGTGTGGAGGGTAGAGTGTAAAAGTGTAGAGTCTGGAGTGCAGAGTGTAAAGTGCAGAGTGTGGAGTGCAAAGTGTGGAGTGTAAAGTGTGGAGTGTGGAGTGTCAAGTGTGGGGTGTGGAGTGCAAAGTGTAGAGTGTAGAATGTAGAGTGTAAAGTGTGGATTGTAAAGTGTGGAGTGTGTATTGTAAAGTGTGGAGTGTAAAGTGTGGAGTGTAAACTGTAGAGTGTGGGGTGTAGAGTGTGAAGAGTAGAGTCTGGAGTGTGGAATGTATGAACTGTAAAGGGTGTGGAGTGTAGAGTGTGGAGTGTAGAGCACGCAATGCGACACGTCTGAAGTGCTGCGCTTGCCACGCAAAATTACTGTGGACTTGTCCAAAGCGCCGCGCCTGCCACGAAAAATGCAACGCATCTTCTGAAAACGTCGCAAGTATTGCGCCTGCCACACAAAACGACTTTCGACACGTTATCAAACAGGTTGGAAGGTCACAAAGTGCCGCGCCTGCCATGCAAAACGACATGACAACCTGCTTAGAAACTTTGCAACATAGGGGGGGTGCTAGGAAAAACAATTTATAAAATAAGAAAACTTGGGACTGGACTCCGAGGAAAACAATCTGGCGGGACCAGGGGCATCAAGCATGACTCTGATAGTCCAAACCAGACAAAACTTCCAACATAAGTGTTCAAAACAAGCCCCGGATCAGATGCTGGCAGGATGTCGGGTTTACATCCATTAGCTCAAGTCCGCTCAATACAGTTGTTTTCCAACAATGCAAGCTGATCGCTGGCTCGGCCCTAGTTGGCCGTGAAAAGGCAGGTCCAGAAGACACTTCATCCGATGCACTTTGAAGATCTGACGGCGCGTTATACCTATTTGTATACCGCGGGTTCCCTAGGAGGCCTATCACGGTTGCAAAGCCGAGGGCACATGCGGCCCATTTGAAAAGGTTCCTTTTTGGTTAGCTGCTGCTTCTCCTTCTCGGCGCCGGATCCTGGCCAAGTTTGCTTTGAATGCGCCCTTCAAAATTTCCTCGACTGCTTCCAACGTGCCCTTCACGAATTCCTCGCTTTCACCGACACGGGCCTCCGATTCCCACTCATGGGTCCAAGATCACTTCATCCATGCTGGGCTCATCATGCCTATACCGGTCAAGAGAACCGTCACATCCTGCCAGTCGGAAGCGAGGCCCTTGCAGCCCGCCTGATTCCAGCCAATGTGCCATATTATCACGCCACGCCCCTCAAGTGGACAGCATAGCGGCATAGCGCTTGGCGAAATTGCTCGACTCCTGGCAGGAGGATGGACAGTTTTGCAGTCTGTCATGTTGGAACCACGAACATAAACCCTTTGTAAATATACACGAACAACTATTCACGCCCCCTGTCCTGACAAAGCATAATATTTTACCCAGCAACCCGGCTGGCCGCAGAAGCCCACCCTCGACCACTCAAAATCTCGTTGGAGCACCAACGTTATGTAAAAACAAAGCGCTGCGTCGATGTAGCTTCAGGTTTCAACACTTGAGACTTCAAACAGCTGTGGAAAACACGAAAGTTAAACAACCCTACCGTGAAATGCAATTGCAACTCACAAACCAAATTAACACATGATGATGAACTTGTTTCCACAAACTATAAACTTTCACACAGGCAATAAAAACATTTGAAGCTTTGGCTCGGACATCGCAGAAGGAGCCGTTTATGCAAGAATTTACAGAGAAAATGTCGCAGACCATGACCGGTGCAGTCGAAATACATGGGCATCTCAGAAGGGAATGTTTATCAAGAATTTACTTTGAAAATGCCGCTGACCGTAACCGCGGCGCTCATCTTGTGCGAGCCTGCGCAGTCGAAATGCACATGGACATGTTGTCTCACAAGCAAACTTTTATGCGAGAATTCACAGGACAAATGCCGCGTCCCAGATGGAGCACCCTGACCCAACCCCGGCCTTTAGCTCAGTGTGGACACACTGTTTGGGGAAAATTGGCTATACCCCCATTTCACATCATTTCAGGAGGTTTAGATCCCCAATTTCCTCTCTCTCTCTATCTATCTATCTATCTGTCTGTCTATCTATCTATCTATCTACCTAGCTACCTATCTATCTACCCATCTATCTATTTATCTATCTATCTATCTACCTATCTATCTATCTATCTATCTGTATATATATATATATATATGTATATATATATATGTATATATATATATGTATATCATATATTGTTTCTGATATCCCCATGAGATCTCCATTAGATCCCCCAACTTCCCGGTGATTTTTTCCAAAATCTCCGCTTCGAATCGTCTCCTCTGCAGCATCTTCCGCAGTGTCCATGGGCTCTTCCTCTTCCAGCTCTGGAGCCTCCTCTTCCTGCTCCTCCGGCTCCACATCCTCTTCCTCCGCAACGAAGAAAACGCTGGATCTGAGGGTTGCTGGTGATCTAGTGCAATGAATTTGCGTGGCCCTGCAGGAATTTTCACGACCAAATAACAAGTAAGTTTCATAGTAAGATTGTTATATTCTCTCTACAATCGCTGAAATCATCCATATATATATAGTCTGTCGGAAAATCTTGCTATTACAACTTCATTGCTGACAGTCACCCTTTGGTAACCAACCCAAATCAACCACACCAATGAGATACCTCAACGTTCACCCAGTAAATCATCGAGGGACATGGAACATGTTTACCACGACTATGTTTGCCAGAGGATATGACTTCTGGTTGGTGGTTTCAAACCCTCTGAAAAATATTAGTCAGTTGGGTTTGTCCCCGCAGTGGTTTCTGTGACGTCTTAGTTTTGGATTTCTGATGTTTAGTTGAGTTGAATGTTCCGCAGGCATTTGGATGTTGTTTTTTCAAAGTTTTTCCCACTTTTTCTGACATATAGGATATCTTAGCTGAATCACGGAAGGAAACATCGATAGCTTGAACTCTTGGAACAGGCTTTTTGAGAGACCGCAAAACTAACAATCTAGAATCTAGATTTCATGTTGAACAGACTTTTGACTGTTTGCACGAATGTAACATTGACAAAGTTGAAGTCCCCCACCCCCCAAACACAAATATGCATAATGCAAGTGCAGGAGAAAATCCCACAGCGTAGCATGACATATTTTCAAGTTGACATGAACGTTATTACCCCCACCCCACCCCACCCTAACCCCAAATGACCCAGATGCATATTCTATTGCTATGCACACCATATAATCCATGCGCGTTCAAGTTGACATGAACGTTATTACCCCCACCCCACCCCAAATGACCCATATGTATATTCTATTGCGGGTTTCTACATGCGTGCATGGTTTTACAAGGTCGGACTGTTAGAGGGACACCGAAATTCTGCAGGTTGCTTGAAATTGTTGTGACTGCGCTCCCTGATTTTGCTGTCTTTGGACAACCCTCTGCCACATTGCTGTGAGTCAAGCACGAAGAACCCGATGGTTCGCGCTTGACTGAAGCTGATTGGTTTAAAGTTGGGAATCTACAGGAAACCATGGGTTTTTTCCATGCAATATAAGCTGGTTGGTGGTTTCAACCCCTCTGAAAAATATTAGTCAGTTGGGAGTATGACATTCCCAATATATGGAAAAAAATGTTCCAAACCACCAACCAGATAAGGGTTTTCTCTAACTTGTCCCTTACACCAACGTTTGACACTGGGGGAAGTGTCACCGTGTCACCCCTTCGAAATCGTTGGGGAGTTTGGTGAACTTGAAAACCCCGCTTATCCCACAACTGATCTAGGCCACAAGTAGCTTTACTGCCATGCCTTTCATGACCATTCCAACAAGGTATACCTGGTGAGGATAAGGAATGATAAGGAATGATTCCACCATGTTCCACCTCATCTAGAAATGGGATAACAGGATAACTCTGCAGTTTTCACATGGAATCCTCATACCACCATTCCCAATTCTTCCAATTCCTCCAGGAATTGCTGCAGAAACATCTAGAGCAGCACCCTGGAGCCTCTTCCAATCATGCACAGGAGATCCGAAATCCGGCTATGTTGATCCCACCACACAATGCCGGGAAGGCTAGTAGGGGGCTAGCCACATGATGATCGAATCGATGCCCATCAACACCCATCAACACTAGCAACAACCCAAAAGAAAGCAAAATTTACTCCGCTTCTGTTGCTTACTGTTGTATGATATGTCCAATATTGTCCAATAGTCAACAGCAGTTCTTGAACCAAATAGTCAAAAGCAAAGGATCCTCGGCATTGTCGTCCTCACCGTCGTCCTCGCGGTCCGGAGTCTGTGTTCACGTGACGACTGTGGATGACTGGGAAATTGCCTCTGCAAAAACAGTAGCATGGCCTCTGGTAATTTCACATAGACCCTGATAAATCTCATGAAGAAATGGTTTATATTCACTGTCGATGTTACACTAATTCTGGAAGCTAGAGTGACTATAAAAACATGATTGCACAATGGTGAAAAACCTGGGTGTTTTTTTCAAGGGGAAACCATGAAATAATTAACTTGCGAGTTTCACCGAAAATGGTGGCAACATCAAAATCACAACCAAACCACCTGGCTTTGTCGGATGGACCGCCTGGGGTTCATCCACCATTTTCAAAATCACATCCCATTCCCGTTCTACCTCCATACAAAAAAACATGTGGAATTCCGAACGGATACCTTCTCCAAACATGTTCCCAAAATCTCCTGAATCAACGCCACATCCTTCTCGTTCTCGGTGCCTGCCTTCTCGGCAGGGTCCACCTTAGCATCTTCGCTCTCGGGGCTGTCGACCGCCTCCGTCTCCGTCTCGCCCTCACTGTTTGCGTCCTCCGCGTCCTCCGCGTCCGCGGCGTCGGTCTCGGTGACGGCGTCGGTCGCGGTGTCCGAGTCTACCTGTGGGGACGGTTTCTCCAAAAAAAGCATGGGATTTTCACGTTGGGATATAAATGGTGATGTGAATGGCATCATGTATATATCATGGTGGTACAATGGTGTTACATTGGTGATATACTTATTTTATAATGGGGGAGCAAGCCTCAAGCAGCATATTCCAACAATCATGGAAAAAATGTGGAATTGATCTTCAATGGCGGTTTAACCTCCGAGAATTGGGATGTATCCATTTAAATTGAGATACTAATGGGATATTAATGGCACATAATAGAACCAATGGACTTGGGTATTTGGGTAGAAAATGTGTTTGATGGTTCGCAGCAGTAAGTGGGCTTCATTCACCCCAAAGATAACTGAACGAACCCTACCTACTTAGATATACTTGACGTACTTATGACTCATGACCCACTTACTAGCTGGGTAAATGACCAAGTATGATGTTTATTTGGTACACGAAGTTCCCCCACATCGTCGAAGAGTTTTTGCCAAAACAGATGGATCTTTTTACAAACCTGCTTGCCGCTGAATACTACTTCAGTTGTCCTAAACTGCAGTTGCTCATATTATGGTCATTTTTATGGCAAAATCATGTTCTGAATTCTGAACCATCAAATTTGGGAATATGAACTTTATTTTCAAACAAGCTCCAGTGGAAAGGTTTTTGAAGGTGCTGTTGAGGTTCGATGGTGATGTTTTGGATGATTTTTTGGCCAGCATTGGGGTACCAAAAAGCACATGAAAAGAGATGTCAGTGCCAATAATTCGGAGTTGCGTTGCTTAACCGTTGACACTGCGTGATGTTGGGAGGAATACGTTTTGAAATCTATGTGTTCGCAGCGTGCAAAATCAGAATCGTCGAACTTCTATTGAAGCTGTGAGGCAACTGTCCTTTTGAGTTGGTGAAAGCACGAAATCCTCCAACGATGTTTTGCTGAAATAAGGGTCCTATTTCAAGTACTAAACCCATGGATTTAGGCTACCCTTGGGAAAGGTGGTCGGCCTGCGACTTGTTGCTGGCCGCCAGAGCCGTTGGCTCTGGCACGAGGCTTACGCTGCGATACTTGGCCGTGAGGGCCAAGGTGAGCTGCAAGATCAGAAGGAAAAGCTTCATTGCGATAAAGGCCTGGTCAGATATGATACCCTCTGGTAAACTAACATAGCTATTGAAAATGGCCATTTACAGTGAGTTTTCCCATCAAAAATGGTGATTTTCCATAGCTATGTTAAATTACCAGAGGTAAAGCCATCATCCCAAATATTGCCTATAGGACAGGGTGTGCCAATGTCATCCCTGAAGGAGTTTATGATTGGATTTACCATGGTTTACCATGATGCTTTATCGATTCTTCACTTGGGTATATTTCAAAAGCATGGTACTCTGGTGAACACCAAGATGAGTAAATGAATCTTCATTCCTCTCAAATGGTTCCACAATGTTAGGGATTGACCCATCCTGCGGTTTGTGAAGTGTTTCTAATAGCTCTTGGGTTTCTGCTTAAAGGTTCTTGGGGGGGAAATGGGGGGAATATATCACCCTTCCCACTGGAGCGTCAATGCTGATGACTATCCCATGATCCGAACATGCCATGATGATCCCATGCATCTCAAGATATTTCGAACGTGTTTCCATAAATGGGACCCCTAAATCATCCATCTCTTTTTTGGTTGTTCTATCATAAACCATCCATGTTTGGGATCCCCCATTTATGGAAACCCACATATTTCCAGTTCCGACAGTGACAGTGCACCTTGACTTCCAAATTGCTTGGAATCAGAGAGAGAAGTTCGCTCTGTCGGCACTTGAGCCACACGTCAGTTTTTAGTAGGTTTTAAATTTCAAACGTATCCAGGTGGTTTTGAGTGGCGAAGTTTGAAGAGTGGGCGTTTGGGAAAATTGGATGGGTTTTTCCGGGAAAATACACAGGAAACCCCTATGATTGGTGGTTTCAGAAACATGTAACAACTATGGTTTTTTAACATAGCTATTGACAATGGCCATTTATAGTGGATTTACCCATTAAAAATGGTGATTTTCCATAGTTTTGTTAGTTTACCAGAGGGTAACAACTATGGTTTCCAGCTAGGATTTTCCCTAAAAAACAATCCATTGACATAGCCAACATGCTGCAATGCCATGTCTGCGGATGTGGCCGGCCAAGGCCATCCACTGTGGCATAGGTGGGAAAGCCTCTGAAAATGAAAATGAATACCATCAAATAGCCACTTTAATGGGAAACATGTACCATGAAATATGTGATAAACCATTCAATTCAGGGGTAGCCTTTTCTCAGACAAACCCATATCCAAAGTTCACTCATTCCCTTCCTTCTCCAATTTCACCGCAAGCCTACCCTCCAGGCACTTGCGCCAGATGTTTTTTGTCTCTAGCCTGAGAGTCTAGGCCTCAAGCGGTCAATGCACTTGCGCCTGGCCGCAAGGCCAAGGACTTCTCAGTGAGGCCCTGTTCTTAGGTACTCTAAACATGGTGAAATGAAACAACAAAGTATGATTCAATATGACTTTATCAACAGCTATTAATTCATCATTCAACAACCATACAGTAAATGGTAATCTAGCCAACCACAATGGGCACACGGTCAACAGTTGGAATACAATCAGCACACATGTGGATGTGACCAAGACAGGTAGGCTCTGCATTGGAGGTGCCCACAAGTCAGACAAAATCCGTGTGTAATGAGTGTAATACTGTATCTGTATACATTATATTCTATATACAATTAATACGTTACTCGTTACAAAAATATTGTACCATATCTGATACTATAGCCAAAGAACGCTATCCACACATAGATTCCTTTCGGCTTCACACGTAGATTCCCTACTCCCAGCCTGGTGTAATCCCATTGTGATGGCGGGTTAAAACAGGCCCTCTTTAAGTAGCAACCGCAGAGATAAAGCGTGTTTCAGGATGTTATAGGTGAAAATTACACGTATTCACTTCATATGTCCAGGTTCCCACTCCCACTTTTCTATCTATTTTGAGGGTACTATACTATAACTCCAAAAAATATCATCCACCAATTGAGCAGCGTTCAAACCCCAGAATGGATTATGATCTCCAATAAAAAGGCTAGTATATATTATAAATAATCATCAACCAACCATTATTTATCAATTCTATCCCCATATTCAATGGCTTGGTTTTCACGGGAAAATCTTAACCGGAAACCATCGATTTTCCCAGTAAATATGGGGGTTTTCCTGTAAATTTTGATGGTCAGAAGCCTCCTCTAACCCCAAAAACCAATTGGTGCTACAGCTCCACTGAGCGCTCCACAGCTCCAACCGAAAAAACCGCTCCTATCGGATCCTATCGCTTGCTGCATCCGCTCAAGCTGTAGGATGACCTGCTCGGCGAAAATTTCCCGAGGTGCCTATCATCAAAGAAAAATGGATGAAAATCCTCTGGTTATGACTAACATAGCCATGGTATAGATGGCCCATAGAAATAGATGGCTTACCTATTAAAAATGATTTCCATGGCTATGTTAAATAACCAGATCAGATGGTATTATAAATATACTTATGAAATCTTATAAATACAGAGGATTAAAACATGAATCAACAGGTGGATGAAATGACCATTTCAGGATGATTGAAGGTTTAGAAAAGCTGGTAATAGATCATGGATGTCTGGGCTTTCCGGGTTTCGAAATGTTGGGGCAAAGGGCAAACAACTGCCAGAGTTCAAGTATTCCGAATTCCTGCTCGATGTCAGAATCTTTTTCAAACAACTCTTTGCCAAAAATGGTTCCTTCTTCGTCGAAATTCAACTTTGTAACTCGCGGGGTCTCCAGATAGGTGGTCAAAATCCAAGGCTCAGAAAGGGGCTCTGTCAACTGTCAACCATCTTGTAAGTCTTGGGGAGTTTCCTCTAAATTTCATCCAAGTTATGGTGAAGAGTGGGGATATAACCGGGTAAAGGGTCCATTCTTTTCAATGAACTGACTAGATCTCTGGCAACTGGAGTCGACCGCCAAAATGGTGACCAAATGCACCAAATCGTAGCAAAATCATGGTCAAGCAATGTGAAATTTGATATATCTGTATGATCATATATATATATATCATATCATATATAATATCATATACATGCCTCGTATTACCCATCTATGTGAATGTGGCTGTTGAAAAACATGTTGATTCGCCATCGACCCATCTGCCGAGGAACAGAGAAGCTCCGCAAACCGTAGCCTTTGGAGTACCGTGGTAGCCGGGCGCGCCTCAGGAATCCCGGGGCTGGTGGGGCTGGTGGTCGAGTGCCGTGGTTCAGCTGGGAAAGTCATAGCTATCAGTAAGCATAATTTTTTAACAACCATTGAGACGGGTTTCATGGTGCTTTTCCATCACAAATCGGAAAAAGGGGAGCATAAAATGATGCAATTGATGTTGACCAGCAATCATTGGCATCACTCTTAGTCTATACTGAGAGATAAGAGCTGGATAGAGTTTGTACTTCACTTTCACAGTAACAGAAACCTGTGAATTAACATATATATATATCAAATTATATCAACGTATATAATATACCCCCTGCTAAACCAACATACACAAGTAGCTATGGAAAATAGCCAGTTCGCATATGGTTTTCCATAACTACTGTATCTTGAATTTACCCAAGGATAGATAAATCTATCAAGGTCCCGATCTCGATCGAAGATGACCAAGGGACATGTAGCTTGAACATCGAAGGTGTCGATTTCCAAGGAGTGTTCCGACACCATGTAGCCATCCACATTGCTTGGAGACAAACAAATCGGTATTCCTGATATTCCTGGGCGTTCCAGGCAGAATGGAAAATTCCCAACATTTTTGAAACATTTTGGAACCCAAAGCATGGTTTGGGATTGTTTATGATTGTTTATGTGATTGTTTTTTCTTATGTGTGTGACAAATTTGGAACCGCAGATATGGAAGGTCTGTTTTTATGCCTGTCGCAGGTCCGAACTTTCGGAGTCCGGAAAAGAAAATATCATGGCCCATGTACCTTTTGGTGTCATCAAATGTGGCATGCTGGAAAATATCCAAATAGTAGTCCAAAATTTAGTAGTTCCAAAATGGAAGATATCCAACATATCCAATGGTGTCTACAAGGTGGTGCCCCCCAGTTATAAGTTGGTTTATAAACCCCATTAACTATAGTTATATCTGCCATAAACCATAGTTATTGGAGTTATAATCCAACTTAGCTAACTATGGGGCACCACTTTGTACCCTCTGGTGTCATCCAATTTTTAGTACTTCGATCATTTTCCCAGCGAAGCCTCCATGGCGCAACGCCACGGGAGATTGATGGACCCTAAAAAAGGGACGATGATGTCCGTGGTAGATCAATTGGTCATCAAAACTTGAATCCCTGATAGCCTCTATAGTAATTAAAATAGCTATTGAATGTCGAGATTTTGAATATCTAAATACTCATATTATATATATGTATATATATATATCATTATATTAGAAAAACATCTATACATGGGATTTTGAATAAATTTACATATGAAATCATCATCAATGGGCCAAGGCTTCCAAAAAAAAACACACACCATTTCCGGAGGGTTGTTGTTCGCTAGGTGTCTCTGACATCCCGCCAGGGAGTAACTTCTCAATGCGTTGGAGCACTTGGTCGCGGACGCTGAACCGCTGTAGCCTCTGGCACCTGAATTTCGTGGCGCCGCTGGGATTGGTCGCATTTTTTCCCAGGGTTTTTTGACCTGCAAAATGGCGGAAGGCAAGTCTACTGGCTGGTTTTTATAGTGGTTGGCGAGTCATCCAAAAGAATTATAAGATGATATTAAGATATGATACTATATCAGTATATATAACTTATCCATACTTATCCCACATCCCAAACGATCCACAGTATTCCACCAGAGCCAAGCGGTATAGTTCGACAAAACCCCCATAGGTTTTCTCGTAGGTTTCCATCCCCAAATACTTACTGGTGCTAAACGTAGGGGATGGATGGGAATGATCCATAATCACTAGTAATAATCATCCCATTCCCCCAGTCCCATCCATTCCCTACGTTTAGCACCAGTAAGATGATCTACTCACGAAAAAAACCACGGTTTTCGCCCCAAGGCACATTGTACTTTTACATCGAAGGAGTCCCTGTACAAAGACGTTTCGGTGACTTCGTAGCCCGTGACATCGTTGAGTGCCACACATAGGGGCACCATCGAGCAGCCGCTGAGTGTATATGCTTCACCGTGAAGATTGCACTTGGTCACTTTGGCAGCTCCTGGTGGTGCCCCACCCTGTTTGGTGGTTTAGTTTCACCATGGTTCACCCCACCCTGTTATAAAAACAACTAGTGAGAACATATCTACCATAAATTACACTTATGGTAGTGATAAACCAACTTTAGTTATCATAAATCAACGATGTCAACTGTAAATTCGAAATCCCAGTTTTCTCTGGGTTCAATCCCCATCTTCTTTCAGGTTGATTGCATATCCGGATCGTTAACCGACAAAATCAACCACCGAAACGGCCCCCTTGTGGCACGCTCCTGCGAAGCCAGGCGCACACTGCGCCTTGACGTCAAAGATGGCCTTTCGTAGAGCTGCCTCGGTGACCAGGTAGCCCTGCGTCGTGTGGGGTGCCACGCAGGTCGTAGTGCTAAACCTCGGCTGTTAGGGCTAGAAGTCACTGATATGAGCCAACAAGCAGTGAAAAACTTAGGTGTGGTAATGTGAACATATATGCCATGGTCAAGTTACACAGGATGGACATAAAGGATTAACGGGCTGTGGTCATGCCGTGATCAGTGAAAAGTTTCTATAGTGGGCATATTCATCCCTATGAAAGGTGAGAATGACCATTTCATTGCACGAGAAAAACATATGTGCTTTGACAATGGTACATATGCCAACCAACAATACAAAGTGGGATATGGGATATTATATGATATATATATATATAGTTTATATATCATATATATATACATATACATATACATATACAAATATATATATATACATACATATATGTATATACTTATACACATATCTATATATATATACATATACATAAATACATATATATATATATATACATTCGAAGGAAGTTTAGAAGTCAAACTTCCGACAATATGGACAGATGAAAAGCAGAGATGGGAAGAGTCAGAGAAGAGAAGGGAAGAGAAAGAGAAAGAGAAAGAGAAAGAGAAAGAGAAAGAGAAAGAGAAAGAGAAAGAGAAGAGAAGAGAAGAGAAGAAGAAAAAAGATCAAAAAGAGAAAGATTGAGAAGAAAGAAGATCCA